GAGGGACAGCAACCTGGCCCCCGGTTCAAAAAGGTTGCCTACCCCTGAGCTACAGAAACAAACCACTTCTTCTTCTCTTGATGTTCCATAGGAAAGCTCCCATCACCCATGAATTTTGGTCTATAGATGTAGCTTCACCTGCAATATATGGTTCCTTTCTCACCTTTTTGGACTTGTTGAGTAATTCTGCACCCTGTGCTTTGTCATTCATAACCCAGCATGGTGTAGCCCCCTATCCTGGGGGGTTTCTTGGCAAGATTGGTTCAAAGGGAGTTTGCCATTGCCTTCCTCTAAGGCTGAAAGTGGGTTTTCATGTCTGAATGGGGATCTGAACCCAGAAAGTCTCCCAAAGCCCTAATCTGACTGACACTCAAATCATACTGTCTTACATATCTTACATATAGGGTTGCCATACATTTGAATGTGAAGGCAAAATGCTTTAGCACAGATAGACTGGTTCACAATTGTAGAATGATAAATAAAGACTTTATACAAAGCAAATGTAAGAGAGAGAGATTAACCTCTAGCTTAGCTCTGAGAGTGGGAGACATTAGGGCCATTAGGGAATAGAAATGCAAAACCTTGTTGATGTTGTGTGCCTTCAGGTCATTTCTGACCCTAAACTGACCCTATCACTGGGATTTCTTGGCAGAATGTGGTCCAAGGGAGTTTCCTCTCATCTTCCTCTGAGAGAGGCTGAGACAGTGTGACTTGCCCAAGGCCACCCAGTAGGTTTCTATGGCTGAGCAGGGATTCGAACCCTGGTCTCCCAGTGTTCTAGTCCAACACTCAAACCACTACCTCACACTGACTTTACATGCAGTAACTATGAGCTATGAAAAAGGGTCATTTCTGACAGAGCTCTGGAACCAGAGGTCTCTAACAGAGAAGGCTAAATGTCTCACAAAACTACAGTTCCCAGAATTCCCTAGCATTGGGCCAGGGCAATTAAAGCGGTCTCAAACTGGATTATTTCTGCAGTCTGATTTGAACTTAGGGTCGCCGTAAGTTCGAAATGTCTTGATGGGAACCAGTACACACACACACACACACACACAAAGCATTTTATAATGTATTCTAATGCTTTGGTTTTTGCCTTATGGTTTCTAAACCACAAGAAAGGATGATGATGATGATGATGATGATGATGATGATGATGATATATTGATTTAGCCACACTGCACAGTTATAACAGTTTGATACCAAAATCATAGAATCATAGAGTTGGAAGAGACCACAAGGGCCATCTAGTCCAACCCCCTGCCATGCAGGAACTCTCAATCAACGCATACCTAATAGATGGCCATCCAGCGTCTATTTAAAGACCTCCAAAGAAGAAGACTCCTCCACATGGTTTCCAGACCCTTCACCATTTTAGTTGCCCTCCTTGGACACTCTCCAGTTTCTCAACATCCTTTTTGAATTGTGGTGCCCA